ACTCCTCAGAGTGACCCTCCTGGCCCCACTTCTCTGTAAGAGTTGTGTTTGGTTACTGTCTCCGCTGTCCTGACATTCACCGCCGCTGCAACAGATGGTGCCCCGTGTGAGGGACTGCGACAATACCCTTATAAGTTAGTGTACCCACAGGTGACTTTCTTAAGTATTCAGAATTGGGGTTTTCTTATTTTTTAGATAAAAACAGGTCATAAATGAGTCTTTCCATTCAATGCAAAAGGTGGTCCAGCATCTGTGTCTCCTTCCTGGTCACCCATATGCACCAATACTACGTTAGACAAACTTAGTCATAAAGATGAAGAAATAAAACTTGAGTTACTTCATTTCTGTCGTTCAAAAAAAAAGTAACCAAATAATGATATTCCTAGTTACCAAAAAGATGAAGACATTAACATGAATAAACATCTTAAGCAGCTGCTGAAAATTCCTTTGTGTTTTAAAATTTCTTTAGGTTTGTGCTCCTAAGATACCTAACATTTTTATTATCACAAAAAATCCTATTTTATCTGTACCCTTCCTGTACTATTCTATTTTGGAACTTGAGAATCTATAACTGGCTTGGTAATGAGCTCATTGTCCTTAAATTTTGTTTTATTGATTCACAGTACACTTATTGAAATGTAATAAACTATTTATAAACTTGCAGACTCCAATTTTCTCAGAGCTTCTCCAAGGAGATGTATACGTCTTTCAAAAAGATTATGTGTTACCTATTTTAAGTTATTTTGATTTGTGTCTAGGTGAAATGCTGACTCACAGCCCTAGATTGCTGTTTTATAGCTCAGGCAATTTTCCTTCTTAAAAAATATGCTTGAGGTGCTTGTGGAGAATTATAGTTTCAAGTACTGAAGGTTTGTTAAGCAAAAGGTGATAATCAACTTTGCTTCATTTCAGGGAAGCTAGAAAAAGAGAGAAAAGGCAAGAGATGTAGCTCTTCTGGCCCAAAGTCCTCAAAGAAACTTCAATATATATATCTCATTTTATCTTCAATAGTATATTTGTAATGAGGATAGTTCTGTGGAAAGTAAGACAATCCTTAAATTATTTTCCCAATAGGGAGGCAT